CGCAAGAACAAATGTACCAATTATTATACTAAGTAATAATAAGAAAATAATAAGGAAATGTTGAGTAATTTGTTAGGATTTTGAGGATTTTTCATTTGTTTTTGAGGAATTTGGTAATTTTTTTGTGGCAACACTGCTTTTTTAACCTCAAAATTCTACCCTCAACGTCAACAAAGAATTTTTACTTCAAAGTAAAACTAGTTAATGGGTTTATAATGCTTGTTATACTTTTAATGCAATAAATTACAGTAATATTTAGCATTAATTTAAAAATTTGAAAGTTAATGCAAGAAAACTTCATTAGCATTATGGGCTGTTTTGCTTACGCGTAAATGCACATTTAGCGCATTTAACTGTAAATGCTACCCTAAATGTACATTTATCCATACAAAATTCGTCATCTAAATGCAACTAAATGCAACTCCAGCTTTGCATTAAGAATCTAAATGCTAAAAGCAACCCTGTGATCTTCCAAAATTTCCACGATTCGAACATGGTTTAATGAGAAAAAGTGACAACATTGCTTTTTCGCGTATACAGTGGCTAGCTGCGTTTCAATGATCACCGATTGAGATTTCATTTATTATTTTACATTATTTGGAAAAAGAAAAGTTACGCAATTTCAACATCGATGTTATGCTGATAGTAATCTGGATCAATTTGTGATCAACTCTGTTTATTTTGTTTCCTAATTAAGTGAGGAAATTTTAATTGACAGCACCGACAAATAAATATATGTATACACAAACAAATGTTCGGTTATGGTTAGAATAATTCAAGTTTTTGTATTGAATTTTTTGGTTTAAAATTTATCTTTGCCTTTTCAGTAGGGTTTTTTGAATATTATCTTCTGCGTGAGCATTTATCGTAATAGATACGGATCTGAATAAGCGAGTAGAACACGGCTGTTTGTCAAAACCATACGATTTCGAACTCGCGTAAATGTACATTTGCTAAATGCGATAGCATGAACGCTCTTCGAAAACATATGTTCGAAAGTGCTAAATGTTGCATTTTAAATGCAGCAAAAACGCTGCATTACTTCTTCGGGATTAATGCATTTAATTTTTCATTTACATTACATTTCAAACATGAATGCATTAATTCTTTACATTAACTTTAAAATGCTATACATTAAAAAAATTATGCATTTTTCACAGCTCTGATGTATATACAAATAGGTATATATATTAGGGTGGTCCAAAAATGCATGTGAAAAAGTAAAGTCGGAATTTTTATGCTCTCACCCCCTAGGATCGTTCTGTACCGAAAAATATACCCCCATTGATTTGAAATCAAAAAATATTCAGGGGTCGCTCAAGGCGCTCAAAGTTTTCCATGTAATTTATATACAACTTTTCGTAGAAATGGTATAGAATTCTTGAAAAGCAATACTTTTCGACCAGAAAACTGTGTTTCTCTTCAGGAGATTCCCGATAATGATACCCAATTATTTTATTTTTTCATAGTAACTATATTTTATAAGTCCGCCAAAACCCCTAGTAAATGCAATAGGGGATAAATAAAAAATCTTTAGCTTTAAAAACTGGTTAAACAATTGGGTATTGTTATTGAAAGTCCGTTGAAGAAAACCAGAGTTCTCCGATCGAAAAATATTAATTTTCAAGAATTCCATACCATTTCTACGAAAAGTTGTTTTCCATATAAAATACATGGAAAACTTTAAGCGATTTGAGCGACTCCCTAAATATTTTTTAATTTCAAAATAAAAAAATAGGGGTATATTTTTTTCGACATAGAACAATACTAGGAGGGGAAAGCATTAAAATGCCGACTTATTTTGGACCATCCTAATATGTATATTACCTTTTAATGTGTCTGCCGAGTATACATTTAAAAAAATTGCTGTCAATAGAATTATATTTCAACAACTACTTTTGTTTTTGCAAAACAAAAAAGTTTAATGGAATATATCAAATTAGAATAAGATCTTAAATGCGAGATGGATTTAGTACAGTAGTCACCAAACAATTAGTAAGGTCCACCTCAACATATTCATGGTGAGATAAAAAGTTTTTTTTACAAGCACTTAAACATATTTTGATGTCATTATTTGATGTGCCGTGCAATCGTTTTTGCTGTTGGGTGATTGGCATTGGTCTTAGTGGAGGTGTTCTGTTGAATTGGATTGAATTTGTGGAAATGATCGCCTTTATGTAGTATTTTGTATTTGTACTTAAAATCATTTCAGTTTTGAATAAGTATCAACATTTTTATGGAACTGAATATAGTATTCGAGTGCAGCATTGCGAGTCTGATTCACAACTTTGCTAAGATTTTCGGGAGAAAAGCGGCCACTGGAAGAAACTTTTAATTTATTTTATCTGCAGGGGTCTTTGGTCGAGTAATTACTTACATGAAAACCTGTGTCTTAAAGAAGAATACTGTCTTTCCAAACACATCCGCACAAACATTTTTGACCACTAATGAAGTGTCTCCGATTTTTTTAGAGAAACCAGGAACATATTCGAGCTGAAATAAAGAGAAAAACTTTAAGGTGAGTTTAGGTATCTGTATAATTATATAAATTAATTAAAAATTAAATGTAGATTTGATATCGGGTTATGTTCTTTCGCTTTGATCGATCTGGCTAAAATTTTGCACATAGCCAATTTAAACTAATAGAAATAGATTTGAAACATTTACATAAAAGTTTTCTTCGAAATTATGGCTGTGGAAAAAATCGGTAAAACAGCCAAGCTGGGTCAACGAAAAGATTTATACAGTGGTGTTCGATGAAATAGAGCCACGAAGTATAAACGAGGTTGTAAAAATATTTGTCTATATTTAACTTTTTTAATTTTATATAAAAGTATAGTCAATTACATAATATAAGCCAAGTAAATACATACAAGCTAAACAGGCAGGTTCTGCAATTCACTTCCGAGTGAATTTCAATCCCTGCCAATTTGAGTTCAAAGCGAATTTTATTGAAATTCACTCTGAAGTGAATTGCAGAACCTTGCAAAATAAAAAATAAAAAAAAATTAGATCCTTCACACTTGCATTTTATTATACGAACGGGTGATGACCAAAAAAGAGAATAAGATTAAGTTGTTTCTGTTAAGATGATATTGTTTATGGGGCCTTGGTTTTAAAATAAATGTACGGCAAATGGCCCGTTTGCAGCTACACAGCGTAGCTTGCTCTGGATTCCTTCAAATTAAAGATGTACCAAGTTTAAATCCATTTTACGGATGCAACTTCGCTGCGTTTCTTTGATTCACTACAATTTGTTGCTCTCTAGTTATTTTTACATACCGTCGTTGTTTTTGAAAACCGCCCGTCGACCAACTGAAGGCATTGCCTTGATAGGCGCTATTTTCTCTAGCTGTTATTTTACAAATCTGTTGTTTTAATAACGATTTTAAGATTTTTAGGCATAAATCTCGATGCCTGGAGTTCAGGGTTACCAAATTTCATTTTTGCCACAACGGCGATTTCAGTTTTAGTTCAAAAGTTACAATTCATATTCAGAACTTCCATTTTTAATTCGAAAAATTAAAATTCAGAAAATTACATTCAAATTCAGAATTTCCATTTCAAAATCAAAAAGTTGCAAAATTCTAATTCAGAATTTCCATTTTAAATGCAAAAAGTTAAATTCAAATTAAGAAAATTACAATTCAGAATTTCCATTTCAAACATATCACACACATTTCACACATATAAAAACTGATTTCTGGTTTCTCGTTATTATAACTCCGTGCGACAAAAACCAAAAATTTTTAAAACACAAGAAAAAATCAATATATTCACTAAACTAGGAGCCAAATATAGTATAACTGCGTTTTTAATTTTTCGCTCTGACATCAGGATTTTTTTTTTAAAGACTTTGAAATTTCTAGGATATGATTAAATAAAAAAATTATTTAAAAGATTTGATGCACTGTAGAGTAACAATATACCCATAGTTAATATACTATATATAATAATATAATATAATACAATATACCATCAGTTAAAAGGAAAAATTCTGTAGAATTTAAAAAAATTAATTTTTTGTTGCACCAGGACGAATAAGTGTTGAAAATGTCATTTGAAAACTTTATCATTAAATATCCTTGGAAATTTTCAATATTTATTTTTGGAAAAAATATATTCAAGGACTAATATGTAAACTACCACATCCTCGAATTTCGTCCTTCTAACTTTATTAGTTTTAGATACAAAAATTTTACACTTCTCTTTATAAGATATTGATAGTTACAACATACATAAATGAAGATACTGGAATCATTACACTGTACAGCACTCCGCTGGGTATTGGACAAAAGCAAATTTTTTTAAGAGATTGAGCCTTAGGTAAAAAAGTAATTTCTCCGTTTTTCGAAGTTAGCCTCCGAAATCGAGATATGGGCCTTTGAAGTTCGAAATAGGACCTTTGGTAAAATATTATTTTTTGTTATTATATGTAAATTACTAAAAAACTAAAAATATAGACGTAGTCCGCCTTTTATCCTTATTTAAATTGTTTATCACTTTTTTTGTACAAACTTATATTACAGGTGCTATAAGCGGTCAAAGTTCCCATCTTCGAAAAATTTAAAACATTATATTTCAAACAATTTTGAACTGAACAAAAAGTTGGTATCTTTGTAAACATGATTAAACCCCTTTCTTCTGATATGCATATTTGATACTTTGTATGTAAAAAAAAACATTTAAAAAGAAAAATACCTTATTTTTTATAAAAATATTTTAAACAAAAAAATTACTAGTCGGTTTTTAAAAAGTTAATATCGTTGAAAACGCAATCAAACCTTTTTTCTTCTGATATGCGGACTTGTATACTTCGTATATAAAAATTTGAGAAAAAACACTTAAAATGAAAAAATACCTTGTTTTTATCGTTGTAAAGTCGATTAAATACCCTTTCTTCTGTGTGCATACTTGAATACTTCGTATATAAAAATTTGACAAACGACACTTAAAAGCAAAAAATACCTTTTTTTATAAAAAAAAAATATTTTAAACCAAAAAAATACAAACCGATTTAAAAAAAATGGTATCGTTGTAAAGGAAACTGAAAACTTATACTTTCCTAATCCCAAAAATGTCTATTTATATACAAAAAAAAAATAATTAAAAACATTTTTTCCCTCTATATAAACACCTGCCCCC